TGTCTCTGTGCCCTTCAGCCCTAACGAAAGCCTTTTTTTCATTCTGTTTGGTAATTTTTTCTGCTATGCATGAGACTCTCCCCTTTCCCCCACTTCTTAATTTTTTTAAGTGACAGAGAAAATAAATTAAGGCCCTTAGATAGTAACTGTATCACATGGCAATGCCCACAATCCATTGCAACTCCAGATCTGTTCAGGCTACTGTCTGTGTGATATCACAAACAGAACTGGAGCTCATCAGAAAGCTACAGATCCAAAAGAAGGATACATAAGCAAGAACTTGTGATGCAGCCTGAGGGTGAAGCTTCTTCCAGCAGGTGGTCCTGGGACTGATGCTGACAGCCTGGGCCACAATGAGGTGACAGGCAGAGAAGATGGAAAGGTTCAGAGACCCCTTTTCTAGGGAAACCATGCTTTCACAAACATTACCTAGGAATTTCTGAAAGAAAACCTGCAGCCCCCTCCCCTGCCCCCCTGCGTGCACAGATTAGAGAGCAGGATTGTGCTTCTTTGTGGCCGAGAGATGGGGTTGGGTGAGCTGCTGGTCACAGGTTCAAACCTGCTCTGAGGTACAGAAATTCCATGGATCTAGTGCACACATGGTGACTGTGGCATACGTAGTGACTCTGGGAAACACAGGAGCTTCCACTTTACCTACCAAATGATAAGGAAGAAGCAGGTGGATATGGAAACTTAGCTTATCCGTGAGATTTCAGATTTGTATCAAAAGTGTGTTTATTCAAGGCTAATTATTAATCGGATTTATTTTTAGTAATGCAAGGGAAAACACAGAAAATGAAAAGGCCTTAGACAGAAATGTCAGGTGGGGCACTGCCATCTCTTTCTCACCACATTGCTCACTCCAGAAGAAAGATGGGGGATACACCCTGGTAACACTCACAAGTCTTTGGAGAGGCAGCCCTTCCCCTCCCCCACCATGCATCTACCTCAGAGCACTGGAAAATGTGGCTGTTTCAGTTAGGGCTCCACAGAGAAACAGAACTAATAGAATGAAAAAATGTTACACACAGATATATGTATAATTATATGTAATACATAATTATATATAATAGAATATGATATTTCTGCATATATAATGACAGAATTTATTAAGTCAGCTTTAAAATAGTAAAAAACTAAATAATATGGGAGATGCTGAGAACCCGGAATTTACTAGGTCATGAGCCTGTGAACCTCACCAGTAGGAGTAGTCTCACTAGAGCTGTCCCTCCCCATAGCTGTCCCTCCCCACAGCTGTCTCTCCCCACAGCTGTCTCTCCCATAGCTATCTCTCCCCACAGCTGTCTCTCCCCACAGCTGACTCTCCCCACAGCTGTCTCTCCCCACAGCTGTCTCTCCCCACAGCTGTCTCTCCCACAGCTG